CCCCCCCGTACAGTTCCAAGAGCTCCTTTTTCATCACTGTGTTCAGTATAATCACAGATTCCAGGAAGGTTAGCACTGGAAGGGCCTCTAGGGATTACCCAATTTAAGCCTCTCTTTATATAAATGATGAGATTGAGGCCTGGACCGGCTAAGGGACAGGCTCAAGGTCAAATAGCTCATTGATGGCAGAGGTATGACCAGAATCAAGGATTCCTGATCTCCTGTTCAGTATTCTTTGACTTTCCTAAACAAAGAGTCTCTCTGGATAGAATCAGAGCACACCGTCACTGAATCCTAGTGCCAACCAACAGGTTGAGTTACAGTCTAGCGCAATGAAAATTGGGAGATTTTATTTTTCCAGTTTATTTGTCCAATATGGAATGGGAGTGTTGAATTCATAGATATTTTTTTCTGACCTGTGGGTCTTGTGCAGTTTCTGTGCAGCGGAGACTGTGATTTGAAATGACTGGTGATTTGTGTACCTTCCTCAGGCCACCACACCATCTACATCGGGGTCCATGTGCCAAAGAGCTACAGGAGAAGGAGACGTCACAAGAGAAAGGCAGGGCACAGAGAAAAGAAGGAAAAGGAGAGAATCTCTGAGAACTACTCTGACAAGTCCGACGTGGAGAACGCGGATGAGTCCAGTAGCAGCATCCTAAAGCCTCTCAGTGAGTACTCCCTGGGTGTCGGTGCCTCTCTCTGCTTCACTCCCGCAGCCTGGGGAAAGACACGTGTCAAGATCTTGTGGCTAACAGGGAGGGACGCAGCGATACTGGACTGGTTGCCTCTGGAGAGGCTTTTCTTGTCCCAGCAGGTTGGTCTAGGAGGAGATCTGGTAAAATTCTGAGCTGGTCAGAAAAGATGTGACAGAGTGTAGGCGTGGTTGTGTGTTTTGACTAGTGAAGGAGGACAGAGTGTTATAGATGGTATTTAACTGCAGTTATCAACAGTAACCGGGAGATTCTTCAAGAAAATTTTGGATTGTTCCTGCTTAGAAATAGGTTCTATTAAGATAGTAGGTCAAGATGAGAAATATATATATATATATATATATATATATATATATATATATATGTATATATATGACATGTATAGGAATATAGGTGACATTTAGCCAGGTTGATTTAAAAAGGAATAGTGGGAAAGCCTCCTGAAAATCAGAAGGATATAGAGTGACACAGCTCTTGAAAGGTTTGAACCTATTAGATATCATACTTTGGATAGAGGTGTTATTAGGAACAGAATAGCAGGAGGTCAAAGCACATCCTTGGATTCAGGCGCTAGGGTGGATGTGTGTTTAGGTGTATGTGTCTCTTGCTTTGGTTCCTTTTGATATGGAGAACGTTTGGCTATCTGGGCAGCTTTGTGGCTGAAGGGAACATGAATATGTGCTGTAGAAGGGAGAAGCAGTGGAAACATATGCCACTTTGGGAAGATTCCCCAACAGGAGTTACATAGTGACAGCTTTTCATGTTGGCAGAGCTCTCAGCACAGTTCTTCCTCTCTTTGCTACACTTGCAGAAGTCTGGAACCTGCAATAAAACGCTTTATTATGGGTGGTGGAGATAAAGATCCAGTTCAGTCTTTGCAGGTGATGAGAGGCCAAATTAGAATTAACAGCTCAGGTGTGTTGAAAAGTGAATTTACAGAGTTAAATTAAAGAGGGTGTGAAGTGTAGTGGTGTGGATCTGTGAATGTTTTTTTATAGTCTCTCTCCTGGAGCTGAACAGGTGGCTTAGCAGCTAGAGAGGTACTTATGCTGAGAGGAGCCATCAGGTGGACCACCAAATGGAAGAGGAAAGTTTTGAGGACAGTTTGGAGATGTTCCACTAAATTAAAATTTTAAAGTGTTGGAATAAATGTAAGACTTAGATGGGACCAGAGGGCAGGAGGCAAGAGTTCTGTGCTTTTCACTGGAATGTTGGGGGAGAGCCTTTCTGAAAGGAACTGTTCATATGTTGACTAAAAAAATGGGGTCTGTTTGAAGCAAACTCCTTGAAATGCAGCCAAAAACGTTCACAGTTAATAGTCTGGAGGAACAAAAGATAACATCCCTTTCCAAATAAATTACTACTGTTTATCTCCATTTGCTATCTGTTTTGACAAGGCCTAAGCCAGAATCAGAGGTGCGTCTCCACTGTGTGTGTGTGTGATCTGTCTCTCTGTCTCTCTCTGTCTCCCTCTCTCTCTCTCATAATCTCTCATCCTGCAATTTAAGAACAAGAGTGCATCATCACTATAAATACTAAAAAGGAGAGAGACGCTCACCTACACAAATGGGCCAAGGGATTTTGAGATGATAATTATGTAATAGCTTTTTAGGAAGGGCCGTGGAAACAATGCCAGTAATACTCAAGTAGGTAATAGTGAATAAACAGGTCAGAAAGGTACTGAGACTGAACCTTTCTCTCCCACGGGGGTCCTGTGGCTTTCTGTGGCATTTGGGGGACCAGTTTGAGTACAGCATGTAAAATAAGGAAGGCAGTTCATTCTCTTTACCCTCAGAGGTCTCCTCCCTGGGGAGTACTGGATTGGGTTGTATACTTGGTTTCTGTAGCGATCCTATGGAGACATCATTGTTAAGGACAATGATAATAAAGAAATGATTTATAAATTTGTATTTTATAGTTAGTTACTTTCTGCTAGTCACTAAGTTATGCTGTCATATGCCTGTGACATATTTGACATGAGGCATCCAATTTGACATGAAGATCCTCTTAGAAATTACCGTATTTTCTCCACGGCTTATCATGGAGACTAACGAGATTGGTCGCTGGTTTATCTGGTGCAATTCTACTTAAGACTGTTGCACTCAGATATGGAAAGACATTTAAATCTGTGATTTGGGGGAAGCTACAGGGCTCTGACACCAGCATGAAGATAAAATTCTTATGGGAAAACTCACTGAAATACCTGCCATTACTGTCTGTCAGGAACAGCCCCACCCAGTTTATGTTGTTCTTGGATCTAGGGTTTTTGAGTTACTTATGTTTACAGGTCCTCTAGACTAGATTCTTGCAAGGGCCTGGCATTGTAGCAGGTCATGCTTGTAACTTCTGAAGAAGCCCCACATGGAAATAGAGGAGCTTGATGAGAATCATCTCTGATTTTTTTTTCCTTGCTGTCACCTCCATATGCAATCCATCAATGACTTCTGTTGGTTCTACTTCTAAAATATGTCTGAATCTGTCTACTCTTTTTTGGTTTGGCTGCCACACTGTGGTCCAGGGAATCCTCATTTCTTGCTTAAGGCAACTGCAACAGACTCCGCCTTTCAAGTCTCTTTCCACACAGTGGCAGCAGTGATCATCATGAAGTTTAAATTGGGTCATGCCATTCACTGCTTAGAATGAAATCTCGGTTGGGCGTTAGGGCCCACCGTGTCTCACCAGAGTCCTTTGTGTTATTTGCTCCTTGTTCACTTTAATTCAGCCACGGTGATTTTTTTCAGTGGTGCCCAAACCTTTTCTGCCTTAGGACCTTTGCTCATGCAATCCCATCTTTCTGGAATGGTCACTCATTCTGGCCCCGGTTAGCTTTTCTCTCCCTTTATGTTCCAGCTTTAAAGTTTGGTCTCTTCAGAGAGGCCTTTCCCT